GGTTTATTGGTTTATTATTCCTTAACTTGAAGCACACATTTTCACAATCAATGAACAGATAATAAACAAACCAAAGACCTCTCAAACACAGTGAGCACACGTGTGTGTAGAAACACATACCCTTGAGATATTCAATGTAAGTAAAGTGTACATTACTGGATAACACACAGAGGGCTCTACAAGTAGGGTTTAACTTACCTTCACATCGAAAGGCAGGTGACTCTAGTGACTTTCTGCACACAGTGCAAAACTTTCTTTTGTAATGTCCTGGAGGCCCAAAACAGTGTGCAACTGGAACCTGTCAATGATGAATGCATAAGACATCATCAATTTCAACTTTCAAAGTGTCAGATAAAATTCACAGAAGCTGCTTTATCTTGCAACATAGGATAGTATATACAACATAAACTTAACTAAGCCCAAGAATAAATATGCAGGCAAACCAGGCTTAAAAAAATAATCATACTTTAAAATATATTTTACATCCTTTAAATATATTTTAAATTCTTGGGGATTAATATGTATTGCATATATTTTTAAGTACTGATCAGCTTCTTGATGGTTCACAGCAATGTGAATGCAAAGCCTTCCTTTGGGACTTAGCTGCAATCACATTTCCTTTCCTAAGTATTCTTAATTGAATCAAGGACAATTAAACAGTAACAGCTGCACAGGTGAACATAATAGCCTGAAGACACACTCAAGATAATTTTTAAAACCTCAGTGCTGCCACAGTTCAGTAGTCTCTACAGGCCTTTCACCTCTTCTCCAAACACAGTCCAGCCCACTGGCTGATCAGAACAAATGCACTGGTCTTCCCCCACCCCATCCAAAGCTTCAAAGCCAGAATGGTAAGACTCAATAATCTCAGAGGTCTTTTTCAACCTAATTGATTCTGTGATTCTGTACAGAGATCCAGCTCTTGAAATACGTCCATACTGAGGTTCCTCCAGACTGCAGGTGGAAGATGACACATTACAATACCCTCTTGCTGTACCAGAGCTGTACCAACAATTTTAGCAAATTTATTTCTAGGATACTATTTCTAGGATACTATTCACTTAAAATACACAGAGGGGTTTTTCTTGCTTAGTGATTAATAATGAAGATGGGAAATGACAGTGCCAAGAGAACAACAGAAGAAAAAAGAAGAATAAGAAGTATCCTTGAGCTTAATACTTATTCCAGAGACCACTCTTCTTACAAGATGCACAGCTTTGTTAAACTGATATTTGCACTAGAAGGAAGGAACATAATTTCATGTTTAAAGTCCTAGAATCCAAACGAGTTCCACAGGAGTTTGCCATAATTTAGTTATTTAGTATTATGCATCTCACATGCCCTTCTTGCTATGACAAACATAAAACAGATTTATCTTGCATCACAAAAAAAAAATGCTTCTAGTAAAGGCTGACAAGTTTTATTTAGGTGTGAAATCAAATTAATCATTGCCAGTAAAATTTTGGAAATAATGACTAAAGATACAGAGTCACAGATAGGTTCTTTTCGTATAGCCCCAGCACTTGTCAGCAGGATTTGACTTTTTCTCCTGTTCTGTTAGGGGTTTCCTGAGAACCACTAACAGTAAATCAGACACATACTGTGAGCACAGAATTTGTTGACACAGGAAGTCGCTTCCAATTATAAATGACTAATTCCCATGAGTATTTCTGCCTCTGAAAGCATGGGGACAGTTACACTACGCAATCATGTACTTGAAGCAGGCACAATGAAAGAAGTGAGATGAAGTCTTGCCAGGTGCAACGCAAGGAGAAAAGAGCATTGCTGAAAGTTTCATCAAGAAAAAAATCAGTAACCTCCAAACTGCAAAGCATGTGGTTTCTCCAGTCCTCCTCAGAATTAATCTTTGGGAAGTAAAGGAGGATGAAGAGAGGTCTTAAGTATGCCTGTGTTATCAGACATGAACAAGATCATGCACAGTACCTGACCAGTGAAACAGGGTCACCAGCCACAGATCCAGTGTGCTGTCTGGAAGAATCCTTGGTCCCTGACTAAACAGGAAACTGCCCAGGCTCCCCACCAAGCTGGGCTGCCAGCCAGCCTACCAAAAGCATTTCATATCAGTATCTCCAATATGATATATTATGGAACAGCCTCGCCTTCAAAAGCTTCAAATTGTAACCTTACGTACAAGTTTGGGGTTTAAAAATACAGACAAACCATACTTTTGGGTTCATATCCTATTCCCATCAACCCAAACAGAAATTTCATTCTCTGGAACCCTCCAGCTCTAACTGACAAAATTCATAGTTGTCTCGCATACAGCAGAATGCTGTAGTTATAAAATGCATGTTTACAAAAACCCCATATATATCCTTGGGGGAAAGAATATATCCTGGAGAGTTTGATAAACCTGAATCACACTACAAGTTTAAGGCTCATAATCTCTGCCAACTCTTCTTGCACTTTGAAGCTACTTAAAGAGAAAGCAAAACCCAAGCTTCTATTTACAGAAATATACAGGCTACCTGGCTCAGCTGTTGTGGAAGTAAAGCACTGTTTTCTTACTCTAGCTGCTCCAAAAATAAAAGTTTTGCCCAAAATTCATCCTACACAATGAATTTGTGTGCAGAAAGAGATGATGAGAACAATTACATAAGCACAACCCCAGCCAGACACTGCAATTGCAAGGTGCAATCCCTGGGAGGATTTTTCAGGCAAGTTTTTCTTCACATCCCAACCTGTCTTCAGGTTTCAAGTGTCACCTTAAAGTCAAGTGTTGCCCTATTTCTGCCACAGCCCCAGGCATAGTGGAGCCAGTCATCCCCAAGGCAGACGAATTTCCCTTGAGATCAGACACAGAGACCTTTAGCTCTGAAGAGGTGAACAAACTGCTTTGGATACCCAGCATGAGCACTCAATTCCTCAACAATCCATGTCTGAAACAGAGGATTCTTCTTCCCCTGGCCACGAGTCTGGCTATTTAATCTTAAACCTGGCATAGAAATGCAGGCTTTTCATTACTGTCACAGAAAGATTCTGCTGAAGCACAGAACAGTTTTGGGAAAGACTGTGAGAAAGGTCCTTGACAGAAGTCAAGCTTACTGAGGATCTAACTGTACTTATCTAGAAGGCTCGATGGAAGGAGACCAAGTCTCAGTTCTGCAGTTGTTCAGACCACAGTGACAACCCTTTGCAAGAGCAACTTGCTGACTGAAATGCTAAGCGGCACAGGGGAAAAAGGGGTGGGGGATAAAAATCTGTTTTCTTCAACTTCTGCCTTATGAAACAAGCCAAAGGAACTATTATGAGTGGTCTTTCTAACTTGTTTTAGAAGTGACAGGTAAAAAACCACGGCAGAGCCTGATGGAAAATGGGATGGGAATAAGACAGAAAAAGAAGAACAGTAAAAGAGCAAGTACAACATAATATATACATCAATTACGTCACGTTTCCCAATATTTTTTTGCTGCTGAACAAGTTGCAAGCACACAATACATGAAAAAAAATTAGCAAAACTCAGACTGGGAAAGCCAGTGAAACAGCATGTCAGAACATGAAAAATTACATATTATTCTTTAGTTTATATCCATCTCTATAAGTACAGCCAAGTACAGAGACATAAGTTGGCCTAGAGAGAAAGTTAATAATTTATGCGTGTAAAATTGCTTTTCCAATATATCTACTTAAATTACCTTATGCAAACCACAAAAATCAATTTCCACAGAAAAACACAGAAAATTTCTTCTAGTAATACCATTAAATGACATCTAAGTGCCCTTACAATATTGATCAGAAGCACATCAACAGGAAGTATAATGGTAACACTCCAGCAAGTGCACACCAGTTCTGCATCACACAGAAAGAACAGCAACAAACTGTTCTTAATATCCAAACTTCAGAAGGATAAAAAGGATAGAATTGTTTTCTTTCAATGGCGCCTTTTACAATTGTTCTCCACCCTGAAACACCACATGATATGAAGCATGTGGCCAACAGCACATCATGAATTTAAGTCCTCTTCCACTAAGGTGGAATCACTGTGTAGAGTGTAGCCCAGCTACCATCCAAACCCTCTGACTTTTGCATAGAGCCAGGCCAGATGTCTTACTGGTCCACAGCCTTCTGGATAGCTCAGCAGAGTAAAAAGTACAGCTCCAGGAAGGCCTGTTCTTCATGCAGCTGCAGCTTCTTTTCTACCAGTTCAGACAGATAAAAGTTTTAGCTTGAACCCTGAGGCAAAGACTTCCAGGCTCCAAGAGGAATGAGAGAAATACAGATACACCAAATGCTGAAGTGACAGGTGCTGTCTTGGGCAGTCTTAAAAAAGAACTACCTACTAAAAACTTTCCCTAGGCCTACGTGTAGGACCTATAGTAGTGTGGGACAAGACAGCTTCCAAGTAGAAAAGAGGATACAAACACTCTCACAATAGCCTCCAAAGGTGGAGCAAAAGGAATTTAACTTAAGGTCACTAGTTTTCCATTCAAAACCGCCATTGAATTTTATGGATAAGCACAAGCAACTTGGAAGCAATCATCTTCACTAAATGCCCAGAAGGGTGGTTGTACAGGATCTTTCACAAAGACTACTCTCGATATAAAGCCAAAAAATAATTGCTGATACAAATATAAATGGTGTTTCTGAAACAAAACCACCTATGAATTCTGATGTTTCAGTGCAAAGGTACCTCCACATCTGAAGTTTCTAAGGTTCACTCTAACACCATTAACCTTTACTCTAGGGAGGTAAATATGGTGATCATACCTGACTACATCCCATGACTGTTCTGTCCAGGTTAATTGTCTAGATGATACCCTCTCTGAGAGAAGCAACAACTTTGTAATTCAACTTTTCCCAGTATTTACATCTTTTCAAGTACTTCCTTATTACTCAGTAATCACAAAGAGCCCTTTTATTTGCTTGAAACCTCTCTGCTTTAGTAGCAAAGTATTTCTGCATCTTGAATACACTTTGTGCTCTTGAATACCCTCTACTTCTTTTTCCTTTTAGGGACAATGCCTATCAGTTACTCATCAGCTGTGTCCAAACTGACATTCTTCCTCTGAGCACTTATCAGTTGGTGTTTAGAGGCAATTTAAGCAAACATTCCATATGGTAGTTCTGAAACAAGATAAGAATACAAAGTTAAATGGTGCCTCAACACATCATAGGACAGGCAAGCCAAAAAAATCAAATATTTAGTTATCAAAATGTTAATTGGGGCTAACACAAGCGAATAATGCAAGCAAATAATGCACACATCCATATGCAGCCTCATCATATCCAGGAATATTTTTCTCCATCCTACGGACCTCTATGACAGGACATTTGGCCTTATCTACTCTAAGCTCTCAAAGACCCTTTATGATGGGAGCTGTACAGTGAATTCCACACCATTTTGAACCAGTAATATATGATACTTCTACTAAATAATGAGACTTGTGTAAAAGCTTTTCACTGAAACTAAGAACTGCTTGGACTAGACTTTTTCACACTGGAAATAAAAAATTACATGCAAAAGTCACTCACTCTTTGCTTTTATTGCTACAGGGGAAAATCAATGTCCACCTCCTTTCATCAAGATAAAGAATTCAAAGAAACAAACACAGCGAAACCCCATAATGCTTCTGAAACTGAAGAGTCACTGATACAGCTACAAAGCTCATCTCAGATGAGAGTTCTCAGGCTCCCAGGCAGCTTGCATCCAGTTTCAATAGAGTATAATAAGCTCTCTTGAGTTTATGACCCAGGAGGTGCTAGGCCTTCCTTCCCTTTAACTCCAATGTTCCACTTCAGGGAGGAAAAGGAGGAAACCTTGGTGCAGTGCCAGGATTACCAGCAAGAAGCTTTAAACTTCATTTGGTTTCTAAATTATGCCATGTGGCTGTTAGACTCCAGGCAACTGCCTTGCTGAAGAAACACAGGCATGGGTCAAGTGCTGGAGAGCTAGAGACAGACCTTCTCACCAGAAAGTGGTCAGTGCCCTCCAGCAAGTGCCCAAGTAAAATCATTCAACAGTCTGGGTTGGAAGGGACCATGGTTTAAAGGCCGTCTAGTCCAAACCCTCCTGCAGTGAGCAGGGACAGCTTCAACTAGGTCACACTGCTCAGAGCCCCATCCAACTTGGCCTTGAACGTTTCCAGGGATGGGGCATCGCTACCCTTATTGTAAAACCTTTCTTCCTTAAATCTAATCTGAATCTATCCTCTTTTAGTTTAAAACAATTACCCCTTGCCCTACCACTACAGGCCCTGCTAGAAAGATCAGCTTGGGGTTCAGTTGTTAGGACATGCTGTGAAAAAACCCTCGCACTAGCAAAGTCTCCTTATCATGGACAAATAAAAAGGGAAAAAGAGATAGAAGCACTTTTCCAGAACTGTTTTTGTAATATATAATAGAGGGAAAACATTAAGAATTATTTTGTGAAGTCAAATTCATATTACAGATCTAACTTCACCACCACCAAAAAGATACAAGAAGGGCAGGATAGAAAGTCCCCTGGTTGATGCATGACAATAACAATAACATGCCAACCAACTTGTTCACAGACGTTGCATTTCAGCCTGAAACGATAGTCTGATGGGAGAAGCAGTAAAAGTTCAGAAAGCAGACAGTGCAGCATTTTTTAACCCATGTTGACATAAAACCACCAACACCACCAACTAATAACATGGAACGATTTTCAAAAATTGGATTCTGACATTTTTCTCCCATATTCTCAAGAACTCCCACAGAAACCAATTACATCAAATTCTCCTTCACTGCTTGCGAAACACTTTCGCATTTGTTAAACTGGCTACTCACCAGTTGCAACAACTTTTCTTAAAAGCTAATTCTCTGAGGCAATCACACAAAAATCCATTAGACATTTCTGACAGCTGAATGAGACTGGGGCATTTATTACTCCAAACCAAGCGAAGCAGCAACCAAACCTCGACGGCCTTTGTCTCACACTTTGTTGGACCTTCTCATTGCTGCTTAGACAGAAAACAAAGGTAGAGAAAGTAAACAAAAAAAGAGGTTGGGTCCCTGTACAGAAGTCCTTCAGCTGCAGAAAGATGAGATGCTGCAGTTGTGTATACAAAATATGACATGTAAAAACAGCACAGATTATCAGAAGCAGGGCTAGGGGATCTTACCCTAACTCAAGTTATCTTTTTTACCCTCTCTTCTACCTTCAGTTCATTAGGAGCAGACCCAAATAACGACCCTGCACTCAGCTGAATCTAGTAATCAGGGGGAGACACTCAGGTTAGCAAGCTTGGACAAGGGCAGAGACCACTGCAAGCACCACAGCCTTCCCATTCACCACCACAGCCCTTGAATGCAGCGTGTTTCCTTACAAAGAAAAGTTTTATTTTTGGCATAAATATCTTCAGGAGAACCTGATAACCTAAACTGGCATTTTTCCATTCTAGACAACCCAGCTTTAAGAATAAAAGCACACAAGGAAGTCTCATAAGCAGTCTATAAACCCTTCTTGAAGTGGAAGTGTTTAGAAACCATTACAACAATACATCAACACACCAACAAGGTAAAACAAGCATAGAAAATGCTTAATTTCACTAAAACCATTTTAATATGAGATCTCACTTCCATTTAGTTTTCAAAAAGCAGTTATACAGAAAACACATGCACACACTTCTATGGCAAATTAAGAGGTAAAAAACCTGTAGTATAGCTTCAATTCCAACCTAATGAGGGAAAACATTTTCATTCTCAAAGAGGTTTCCTTTTCACTGTTACTTTTTGTAACAGTGTGTTTGGGCGTGGGTTGTTTTTGCCACCCTCCTCCCTTTATTATTTAAACATGTACCTCAGAGTAGGCAAATACTTATCGAAATGCAGGAAAGAGAGGGTTTGAATTTGAAAAAGTTGCTGTGCAACAAATCATATACACTGCAAACTTGTTCAGAAGACTGACCCATGATGGCTTCTTTTGAAACATTGTGACCTGGATCCAGTCTGGAATACTAAACGCAGGTGATAGTGATTGACAATAGTGCAAAAAATCCTTAGGGCAGCCTTGAGAATGAATTAATGAAGAATGATCTGAGGCTGGATGCAGTTGTGATGTGCTTGTGTCTCTATGGGCTTTTACTTGACCCTGGGAAGGAAAACCTACTGTCAGGAATAGAAGTTTCCACAAGACATCTGCTGAAAATTATTCTCTGATGGTCTGACTTAGTATCAAATGACACACATTCTGAGAAGCTGTAACAATTGCCATCTTCTCTAGATGAAATCCAGGCGATTAAAAAAAATAAATCTCATATTTCTGAAATACACTGAATATTGACATAGCTGAAGGAACGATCAGAAAAAAATCCCTCCAGCATTCCCTCCTATGTCAGACCTCTTAATAAATAATAAATAATCTGAAGGGAGAGATTAAAAAAATAAACTTTCCACAGATTGTATAAATTACTGTCATTTGGGGTTTGCTCCATTATAATTTTAAGCAAATGCCAAGTTCAGTACTTTCTGCAACAGAGCCTGCATGCAAAATGACATCTCCCGTATGGCAGACTCCACTAGCACAGCAGACCAGGATTAATGCAACTTGGATGACCATGTTAAGGAGGGCAAGACTGTCCGGAACAAAAAGTACAATCCAGTATTTTCAAAACTTAATCATTATAGCTCAACATGGATAACACAGAAGACTCTCTGCTGCTACGTACAGAAACACTGAACTGCAAACAGTTTCCAGGACTGACACCACCACCCAGACAACTATCCTCATGGTGCAGTAGAATTTATCCTGACTGTTTACACATAAAATTGTAATATAAAATTTATGTTTTGGGGGGTTTACCTCCATATTGGGTAATTTCTCTCTATCCAACTCCTGTAACTCCAGCTACATATTGTTTTAAACTCTCACTTATCACTCCCTACATAGGCTTCTACAACATAAAGGAATTTGGTAAAGTTTTTTAGGGCACAAAGAAGGGAATCAGCTCCTCCTTCACAGGTCTATGCAATGCATTCCCATGAATGTGCTTTTAGTCATCAAGACCTGTAATGCACACGACTGATTTTACAGCCATCCCTCATTTGACTTTTGCATATGGCTCCTTAAGGTATCCAGTGTTTTACTTCTCTAATAAGTTTCTCATCTTCTTCTTTCCTTTTTACCTCTTCTGTCATCCTTTCCCAAGTGGATAACACACACTTTGTTTTCTCTTCAATTTAGCACCTTAATAAATCCTATGATCTTCTTTAAACTTGATTCAACTTTCACACCCTTTAAAAGTAATCCCTTATGCATGACGCCATGTGGGAGAAAGTCACAAGCCACCTGAAAACTCATACTTTATACATTACCAAAATAAACCTTGAACTACTACCATCAAGTTAAGTCCTGCCCTCTGTTTTTTGGATTTGAAATCCTATACTTTTAATGCAATGACTTTGTTCTCAGGACACAATAACCAAGCAGATTCTTAAGATGTAGCAAACAACAGAAGACAAATACAGCCCCTTTGCTGGGCAAAGAAGCTTTAACATCTTCCCAATAAGATGCAACTGCTGCAAAAATAAGTTGGTGATGTAGAGAGTTCATTTTTACGACACATGGTGCAGTTTTTGGAGAGCACTGATATCAATCACTCTCTCTACTCCATTACTGCAAGACTTCAGAAAATGACACACAATAAAAACATCTAGTAATATTTAAAGAATGGTCTTCAGTGACAGACTATCTACAATTGCCCATCACAGGGACTTTTCAAAGGAAGTGTAGCTTTGCTTTTGAGCAGCTACAAAAGCCTCAGTGATGACTAACACTATTTATGCATTATGGTATTAAAAAAATCACTGCTGTACTACACCATGTTCATTAGTGACAACTTTGTGCTATTATCCCAAGAAAAAGACAAACCAGTGTGTGCTTACTCACCCTTACAAGGCTGGGAGCAATACATGAACATGGTATCTTGACATTCTTGAGGCACTTTTCGTGAGACATGAAGTTGCAAACTGTGGAAATAAAGTAAGAACTGTTAGCAAGTTTTCACAAGCAAGTGACTCTGTATGGGGTTTTTTTTTGTTGTTTATGTGAGTTTTTCACAGAGTCAAATACAATTAGGAACACTGTCTTTTTAATCACATTTGCTACACCCTAGGTTTGAGAACGTACGTGGCTGTCACACTTTGTGCAGTGCCTGAACTCCAGCTTGTTTTGTTATTAAGATGTTGGCAAAGGAAAAGAGAGTTTATCCCAATGCATTACAAGCTTACAGCAAGTCATGGCCTTCCACGATCTCTCCCCATAAGCATCAAAATGAGCTCTTAAATTTCAAAAGAAGTTTTAAACAGTCCAAAATAGCTCTTTGATGTAATCAAAGCAGATGGACATGTTTGAAAGTGAATTATTCTACAAGCTATGTGACATAAATAAATGGGAGAAAAGATAATATTGTTACACAGTGAGCATAATGGATGAAGGAGACAAAATTAAAGGTCACCAGTTACACACAGCTTTGAAAGTCAAGAACTAACTGTTTCTTTTATTACAGGTTTATAATTCCACTCAAGCTCCACAAAGTATGCTTTCAAGCCTTACAGTGTTTGAAAAAAATTTCTCATGGAGGTGATATTTTCCACAGGTTCTTACCACGCATTTATACTATATTAAGTTGTGCAAAGAAAACAAGGATTCTTTATTTCATTCCCACCACTTCACGTTAACTAGGAACAAATAAGCCATGCAGTTATGGAAATAGAATTATGCTTCTTTCAGAATTACTCTTTATCAGTTGAAGCGTAAAGCCTTATGCAGATGCTAAGGCCCTGACCTCTTGTGTGAAAGCACAGACCTCTCCCAGTGCCTGGACATTGCCGGGGCAACTCTTGCTGTAGACAGGAGGTTTTCACACATCCCTGCTTTTCAGAAGCACTCTGTACCACTTCCTAAGCATCTGAAAACTCTCACAACAGATTCAGACTTCTCGTCTGCAGCCCATCGCTGCCACTGATTGTATGCACTAGTGCCAACGAAAGCAATCAATTTCCTCTCCTCGCCCTTCTGCAGCTCATTGACTTCTGATTCCACAACACTGCTTCTTCCATGCCAACTCAAGCATTAAAATCCAGGTCCACTTCTCTAAGCAGCTTACTGCCAGTCATTCAAAGTAATTTTTCCTTTTGGCGGCACAAAAAGAAGGAAGACCCCTTTCCCACTGGCACTCATCTTAATGTGAGCAGTAGGCAGACATTTGTTTTTCATTAATCCGCAAGTCAGAAAAAGAAGCACTGCAAGTCACTACCGTGTACAAACATGCTATTCATCATCTATAGCTGAACAGAGTGATTACTGCACTGATGAAATAAAGCAGGAAAGGAGCAGATCCAAATCTTCTGCTGGGTGCTATGAAATGTTATGTGCATCTTTAAGGTTGATAGCATTCCTGACTAAATGGGGCAGATAAGGGGAGAAAACAGTCAATGAAAAAATGATAAAGCAGATTCTCAAATCTGAAAATGCAGGTACTCATTTGGAGATGGTCTCTTTGTTGGAAGGAGCACACAGCCCACCAGCAAAGTGGAAACCAAAGAGAACAAAGTCATTGTCCAGGCAGAGGAAAGATGCGTCTCCTGCTCCAGAAAACAGGTATGTCTCCACACAACAGAACTCATGAATTCTCATCACTTATCTATGCTATCTCAACATGGAAGTAGGGATAACATAACTCAATGATAATGTAACATAACTTACTCTCTCCTCAGGTCTCAGGAAAAGTTCTAGTGATGCTTTCAGGATCATCACCTGCTTGCTGTGATAGCAGGTCTGCAGAAGGTATAGCAGAAAAGCTACCGGCCTATTACCAGCTAGTCTAAAATTCACCACATACACCTTGCCATCAATGGAAGATATCTGCCTCAGCTAAGGTAGCCTCTTCACTACCTTGCAGGTGCTGCCTAAAGCTTGGCTGAGCCCAGCTAGGTGAGAGGGACTGACCTCTGCAGGCAGAAGCATTGTGATAAAGGTCATCACGGCTCCAATCCATGAAAGGTGAAAGTATGAAGCTTCAAATATAAATGGGCAGACGTCAAGAACTGCATAAAGACGTGAGAGCTAGTCAAGGGGAACCAGCAGTGACTAATGAAATTCAGTGAAATGACACTGTTTCCCCTCATGTTTCTGGTTCAGGAAAGGCCAGCTCAGGAAAGAACAGAGCAAGATGACTGCTTGATATAAGTGCACATGTAATAACTTAATGCACAAGTTAATTGAGCCCTACACAAACACCTCAGGGAATTCAGAGAAGAAAGCTCCAAACCAGTCAATAGAAGAGATGCTTCTGCCATGGACCTCAAGAGATGTATTCTACTTAGTCAGACAACTCAAGTCACCACACAATACCGCTCAATTTTCTCTTTGCAGTGACAAAAACAGCAAAACATGGTTCTGTATAAAGACAGCAACACATAGTTCAGTTAGGGAAGCATCTCATGGCACAGAAAAATACACCAAACCGGCAACTTCAGAGAAGCAGTAAAACCAAAAAGTGAATGATGGTTTCGGACAAGGAGTAAAATAGGAAGGTGCATAAAGGTTTTAATTGTTTCAGCGCATACAGAGAAAGACAATATGTCATAGAATTAATCTCCTAAAATTTCAGCTGAAAGACTGAAGCTTTTGCGAATAATCAAATTAAGGAATAACAGGAGACAAACAGCAGGAGATAAGCAGTGCCCAAACAGATGGTAACATTCTCCATGAAAGATTTTCACATGTATTTCAGGGGGTACACACACACCCCTTCTCTGCTTGTCGCATGCCTCAAATTTGGCAGGGAGGTTGTACCCTGGCTACATGTCTTTCTCCTGTCCCACAAAATTCTTCATGAGGTGAAATTACTCTTACAAGTCACCATTTTGTTTTTATTTTCCACATTCCCCAATAAAGAAATAAACCCAAAATGGCAGCAAGCCAAACTGAAGCATAAACAGTACTGGGGAGAGGAATCCTAAATTCCTATCAGTAATCCCAGCAAGGCAATACACTTGAGCTTGAAATTCTGACAGCTGGGAGAGGTTTGGTGGTTTTTAAGGGGTGACTTTTCATTAGGAAAAACAAGCCAGAAGACATGTGTGAAGTTTCAGGAGAAGAAATTCAGGAGATGAAGTTTTCAGAACTGCAATGATAGGACAAGGGGTAATGCGTTCAAACTGAAGGAGGGACAGTCTAGGTTGGACATGAGGAAAAAGTGTTACTATAAGGGTGGGGAGACACTGGCCCGTGTTGCCCAGGGACGTGGTGGCTGCCCCGACCCTGGTGGTGTTCAAGCCCAGGCTGGATGAGGCCTTGTGCAACCTGTTCTAGTGAGGTGTCCCTGCCCATGGCAAGGGAGGTTGGGACTAGATGATCTGTAAGGTCTATTCCAACCCTTAAATACTGTGATTTTATGATTCTATGAAATGCAAAATTTTGAGGAAAAAGCATTTAACCAAAAAGGAAGGGAGTAAGTTGTTCTCTTTGCAGGAAAAGGATTTCTTCAAACACACACTCAGTGATAAGCCACAAGCAGACACATCTACAAATTGTCTTAAGTCAAAACAAAGCAATTTGAATTGCAGCTTTCAGACACTGTATATAAAACTGATGGTCTCAGTCAAGCCTGAAAGCCTGCAGTGCTTTAACTAAGCATTTTAAGCACTACCAAAAGTACCCTGCAGCGTGGATGAAGGGAGAGACAAGCATGTGAGGTGTATTTGAGGAAAACAAGTGTCTGCAACCTTCAAACTCGACTTTGAATACAAGGTACCTATATCCAGACTTCAGCTGTGTGAAGTTATATAACAGTGAGGGAAGACAAACAGTCATGATTTTAAGAATCCACAGAATCATTTCCTTGAAGGTCTGGGGGACTTCATGTGGTCTCTCTGAGCACCTAATTACATGGTCAGGTATACAGCAGCAACTGTATTTGACAAGTTTCCCTTGCATCCTTCCTCTATTCAATAATAAATTGTTTCCTTCATGTGAAAAAAGAGATATTTCCAACGTGCAACTAGAAGCCAGGTGTCCACTGGGCATCACAGGGCTGCCTGCTGTCCACATCAAGCACGAGATGCAGCTTTACAGCAGTCTCTGCTCATAAGCCATCTCTTCCACGGCCACTTTTCCTACCACATTTTGTTTGACTTTGTGTTTTAATAAAGGCAATGTGTACATACAGCAACACCTTGTGAACATACAGCCCGTAGCTCTCCAACACACACTTATAAGGAAAAAGATAACATCTCTCTCCAGTCCTTCTAAGGAAGAGAGGAGATAAAAGCTGAGAACCACTGTAACCCATGAGTTGTGTAACACTTCCTAAAAAAGCGAGGGCTATTTACACCCTTCGATATGTCACACTTTTTCCACATAAGCGTTTTGCTCTCTATCAAGACAAAGCAGAACCCAGGAGTAAGGAGAACAAAAAGGTGGATTATGCCCCGTATAGCAGTGTGCCATGCAAATGATGTCTGGTTGAGAATCTCTTGCAAAATACCAAACTGAGCACATAATCTTCTCCCCCTTTTGAAAAGACCACCCAGTCCTGAGGAAAATCCTAGATGATGTTGAAACTTTTGTTTCCTCTTTGGAGAGATACTCACCACAATTTGCTTTTGTTGTTTCTCATATAAATTTATTTGTACATTTGTAGTTTAACATGTTGGCCTTTATTTATTTTTTAAATTTTTTCTTTAACAATTGTATTTTGAACTCTAACTCTATATTTGCTAAACACTTTTAAAAGCATCGCTGCAAGTTGCTCTCCAAGGAGAATAAAGGAATGTCAAAACTAAAAACAAAATGGATTCGATCCACTCCTGGAAGTCTGATCAGTTTAACACAAGAGTCACTGTGAATCTAATCACGGCGAGCACTCACTTTGAGAACACTCACAAAGCAAATTGCAACTTTTCCTCCAACTCTCTGTTGTCTGGATTTGTTGTCCCGCCAGTCACCACCTGCTACTCTGCTT